TCACCTCTGCAGAGGTATGTCTCGCTTTAGGGGCGAGCAAACTAATTAAGTCAAAACTGGACCAAAGATATATAAATATAATCGTACACCAGACACAAACATTGAGGGAGATTTAGGACATTTAATTTTCTGTCTTAGCTTTCAGACAGACACAAGCACCCTGGAGCACCAGCATTTTAACCGTCTGGTGTCTTGATCCCCGTCTCCATTTATGTTTGCCTTAATGAAGCAAAACAGACTGGCTGATCAGTTAAACAGTCTGCCTAAAAATGGTTTTAAGCTACATTTACAGTATGTTGTGTAGAAAGGAAAATTTTTTACTTTCAAAAATATGATTTCATATTCTGTGATTCTGTGAATTAGGCAACAATTCGCCTCACTGACTGCTGACATGAATCCAATTAAAAAACTTTTAGCTTTTATCTTTGGAAGTAACTCTTAAGCCAGTCTCTGGCAGGAATGAAAAGTGTCAGCGATTCAATGGTGGAGGAAACTGACCGTGTGAGTGTGCAGTGTGTGTATCCTCATACTCCTTTCCACTTGTAATCTGGTTTCTCAAAGCTCCACCTGCCTGTGTGTAGGACCGGTTTGATCAAAATGATAGTGTAATCAGGGGAAACACTTGGTTCAGCTAAGTGACACCTTTTGAATAAACCAACAGGAAATACCCAAGGTTTATTCTTCTATGGAGATAAAGGCAACTAGATAGTCCATTCACTTTTTGATTTTCATTTAATGACTAAATATCAGCTCTGATTTGCCAAGTTTTTTCAAAATACGTTCCATCTAGATCAGCACCTCTTTTCCTGAATAAAAGTGTCATATTAATGCATGACCCAGTTTCTGATTTTTGATCTGGCAAAGGCATGTAGCTCAGGAGACACCACACCTCTTCCTCTATAGTGTGGGAAGTACAGGTGGAGGACAAACCAGGGAGTGCCTCCACTCTCACTTAGGGAGCCGTACACTTCACCTGATCTGTAGGGGGCTGTCACAGACAGACAACCAGAAACCTAAAACCCCACAATGCACAAGGCTCAGAGAGGACAAAACAGCACCAAAGCTCAATGTCACTGACCATTACAGAAACCTGATAGCTCAACATTAAAGAAAATATAGGAAATGATTGGTTTAAATTTATTATTAGATCTATTATTTCTGATTGGTTATCACTTAATTTAAAACAGAAAAATACATCCTAAGCTACAGTAATATTGTAGCTGTTTAGTATGGTATCAAAAAAATGGCTTCTAGACTTTGACCTTTGAGTTTACTGGCTTCCTTAAAGTTTCAAATGATTTATTGATACAGTAGATTACATGGCTCAGGCTGACCTTGGTTTATGTGAAGAAACTTTTCCTATCCTCCAACAAGAGCCCCTGGGTCAAACATCGGACCTTTTTAAATGTTCCATGAAATAAAACGAATGAAAACAGAAGAAATTGCTTCATTTGCCATGGTCCCTTCCATGCTTTACTGAAGAGAAGTGGAAGGTCTTCAAGAACTACTAAAGATCCACCCATTTTTATAGGGCATTTGATTCTAACCTTGGTTTTTTTCCACGTTTGTGGTTTTAAATTAAAATTTTCTTCTTCTTTTAAACATTTAACTGAATTTTATAAGACGTGAGGTAGTTTCTACTGTCAAGGCAAAGTCAATCAAACAAAAATCAAAGTATTAATGAACCCTATCATGTACTATGACCCAATGAATTTCAACTCCTGTAGCTGACTCTTCCAATTAAATGATTACGCCATGTTTGCTTTTTTGCTATATTAGTTTGCAAACAAAGTTCTTGGTGTTATTTACTGTAACAAAACTACACGACAAGAGTTACGATATTGCACACTGGTACAGTTGGAGAAAAGAAGAACAGACACATATGTCCATGGGAGAAGATGTGACGTTGAGTGAGTCAGCAGTGCAGAATGGAAATTTTAATAAGAAAGAGGAAAATGTCAAAGATCAAGTGTGAAAAGTGAAAAACAATATTTGGTGCCAAGATGGATAAGTTATAAAAGCGGAGTAGAGTATAAGGTTGCAGAAACATTTAGATTTTGCTGCTAAGCTGATGGTACACTGCCTTGCTAAAACTGATGCTAGTCATATTATTGCTATTCTTGGTAATTATAGTTAAGTTGACAGCTTATGATATTGACCAGAGTTTAAGTTCAAGTTTCCAATTTGGTATTATAATCTGCCAGAGGTTGCTGCACAACAATGTTTAAGTCTAATGATCACAGCTGGTGTAAAAATGCTTGTCAGATTCAAAAAGGAAAAAGTTAAATCTATCAGGATGAAGGCCAAGCTTATATTATTTTGTTTGAAGATGAATATTTTTTCCATGTTTTTTTCTTATTTTTTCATAGTAGCAGACTAGACCCATTTAGAAGGACTAAAAGTTTAAAAACAGAAAAACATACACAGATAAAAATCCTACGGTTCAAAGACCTTTTAAGAAAACGCAGGGGGGATGTGAGCTGTCTTTAAATCTAATGAGTGTTTGCCCCTTCCCCAACTTGTTGAAACACATGATAAGTCAACTGGAAAGAAATCATGTTTTTTTTACAGTTTTCTCTCTTGAAAGAAAAGATGGATTTGGCTGTTTGGAAATATTTCGAGTTTCACGGGCCAACAATTTGAAAGCTATCTGTTAAAAAATTGACAAGCTTGCATCAGCTGCAGTATCCTGTTATTATGAAAAACAGATATGATGGTGGAAAAAAAAGGTAGAGATGTGTCAGAAACCTGTTGGTGGCCCTGAAAAGACAGTTTTCAGATGGATTGACCCTGATCAGTGACTTGTTAGACAGAAAAACTTCAGTTTTATTTACTTATTTTTTTCTTCGTGCAAATGTTAAACCCCATCACATGAAAGGCAGCAATGCTGGACTAAACTGCTCTAATTCAGTTTATTTATGTCATTCTCTAGCAGACATTTAAATCAGCTCAAATATGAATCTGTGAGTCAAAGTAAAATTGCCCATACACTTGGAATTGCTGCTACAAACACAGGTATTAGATAATATGGTTGTATAAATATGAGAAAATCTTGTGAAATAAAATAGCGTGGTGACAATATCGGTTGCAATATGTGCTCAATTTGCCTTATTTTTTCTGATTCCCATCAATGCTTACATCCCTACTTGAAACTAACACAATATATTGCATGTTTTTATTCTATAATTTTGTATGTTTAGTTTGTTTTAATTGCAACTGTATGAAAATGTATCTAGAAATGTTATGCGGACGTAACGTAACTTCTCTAGGTGTATTATAGCTATTGAAATTAGATTAACGTTAACATTAAAATTATGTTAACTTTAATGTAGGTTAATTGTTAACAGTGTAGCAGTAGGAATCTGTTCATTTTCTGTTTTAAATCACAGGAATTGGCTCATGTTATACATCTATGTATTAACTTTTGGGGTAAACGGTGTGAAAAAACAGATAGTTTAGAGTTCCAAAAAAAACAAAGATTAGGATTTGACCCCCCCCCCAAAAAAAAGGTGCATTTAATCAAATGCTTAATTTATTTGTAGCCACATATTTCTGCTTCCATCTAGTTAAGACTTATCTGAGTAGATGAGCTCAAATGTTCAGAATCGGACGGGAGGATCACTGCTCAAAGTCAAATAAGAAAAAGATTTAAAATCCCCTCGCTCAATTTTCATTTATTATTACATTGTATGACTTCAGGTGTAAAGTGTTTGTTCTTTGGTAAAGTTTTGCGACCTGTGCCGGATATATTATCTATCAAAAAAGAATAGGCTTTGTACATCGTATCTCAAGTTCAGGAAGGAACTGGATAACTCATTTTGTTTATAAGTAGGTAGAACAAAATTTGGTATATTAAATAATGGAGAAAAAAACATTCAGGTTTAACCTCTGTGCTGCTGCTATCAACACCTTTGTTTATAGATATTGGAGATCGGCCTGTTTTTCCAGTGTAGTCCTGTTTCTCTGATTGTGACTGGCTGGATGTGCTTTCTTCATCCTCTGACATACGAGTTAGCTCAGAGCTCGTCTGCCTGGCTGTGTGTTTCCTGGACGGTGCCGCCTTTTACAGCTGCTTTTTGTATCCCTGCTTCTTTCTCCTTGAACCCCAGTCAGCCTCGATAGATGGCCGCTCACACTGAGCCTGGTCTGCTGGAGGCTTCTTCTCGTTAAAAGGGAGTTTTTCCTCTCTACTGTCGCTACAAGCATACTTAGTGTGAGGGAATGCTGAAGAGTCAATGAGTCCATGTAATCAACAGTTTTTTCCTGAGATAGAAAACTTTGAATCAATATGACTGTATGATCTGGTGAACTGTAAAACGCTTTGAGATGACATGTGTTGTAAATTGGCGCTTTATACATAAACATGAATTGAAATTGAACCTTTCAGTTAAATAAAAATAATAAGTTACTGACACGATAACTATTTAAATGAGAAACAATCAAAATACAATTTGTCTAATGCTTCGGAACAACACTTTATAAAGTTGCAGATGCCAATAGGGAAACATACTTTACTTAATCAGTCCTTGTTAACCAACCTGGCATCAATTAACAGTCCTTTGATCTTTCAGGCTTACCGCTGTTTGATCTTACTCCACCATCAAAGCTTTAAATCTACAGCTCAAACCAGAGTATTGATTGCTAGCTGTAGATTACAATGAAAAGTTCATGTGTTCATGTAGATCTCACGGTCTAAGTGCTCTTTCACGTTTCCTTTCATTTACATTTTGGACGGTTGGGTTCTTTGTATTAGCAGGCCCTCAGCCCCCTCCCTCCCTCCCTCCATCACTAACTAACTAACTCCCAGCACAGCCTGGCATCTCCCACATCACTATAACAACCACCGCTGTAATGCACCATAATAACCCCCACAGGTCCCGTTTCAGTCAAAGGAGGGGAGAAAAAAAAATCAATGCAATTTCAAGGGCTGATGGAATACTGATCATTTCAATTAACGTGTTTTAGCCCTGAGAAAACAGAGTAAAAACAATAATACATACCCTGCTCATAGTCGCTGGTGTCCTCCTCCACCTTTCTTCTCACAGACACAGCAGCTGTTCTGCTATTTATCCATACCGTAGCAGAGTGTGTCTCCTAGCGGCTTGCTTGCTGCCTTCTGCCAGGTTCATATCGGGTCCAGAAAAAGCCCAACAAACGTCTTCCTCCTCCCCTCTCTCCTCTTTTCTTCAGTCACCCAGAAGCATACTGGGGGGACACACGGCTCCTTGACTTCTTGAGCTAGCAGCGGAAGCTAACTCACTCAGAAAACTTCTACCCGAGTTGCGTAAGCGACGCCGTTTCTAATTTCACTTTCGCGAACCGGTTAAACTCGTTCAAAACAGAGTGAAACAACGATAAATGCTATTTGGAATCGTACGGGGAGTTATAACCTGACGCTACAATGAAGCTGCTTGTGTGGTCAATGAGGAGCTCTGTTCCAGTGAGTCTTTCTTGGATTGGAGCTGGAGAGCATCCTCGCTGCACTTGTTGCTGTGTTTGCAGGGGGCGGGGCGTTGTGAGGCTAGGGTGAAGGCGATTGGTTGACCACAGAGTGACCGTCCGGCTGACAGCCAATAGAATACCAGACTATTAACACTTTTAACTGGAAAGCCACGCCCACTCTAATACTCGTACAATACTGCATAATAAAAAACTAAAGTTGCAACGAATCAAGGCCTTTAAATGTATATACTTTAGGGCTGCAATTAACTATTAGTTTACAAAATGATCAGTCTATTATTGTTTAGATTAATTGATTAATAATCCAATAGCCAAAGGTTCCTTAAAGAAGATTATTTTACAGATTTAAACGAGGTGAAACTAAAAAGTTTCTACTTAACCCTTTGTAGGGCACTCATTGATTAAAAAAATGTCAAGCCAATTATGTTATTGGAATCCAGGAAAAGACCTTATTACCTTTGTAACATTCAAAAATCTGGATATTTTGATGCCAAAAATGAATGCAAATGTAATAACAAGAAACAACCACTTGCTCAAATATATTAAGAAAAATAACAAAAGTGCTTCTATAAGAAATTCGTGGAAAAACACTCAAATGTGAAAGAAACAATTTTTTGGGGGTTACAATATAACCTTACAGGCATTAATGCTGATACTGGTACTTACATATTTAGTTTATAAACCTAAATGTAATGTCAACTAGGCTTGTTAACTTTTTAGCTTTACTTTTTAACTTTTCAATTAGCTTTTTACCTTTTTTCATGACTTGTTAACATTAGTAATTATTCAAGGGCTCATCTAATTGGTGGAATGCCAAATTAAGATGTACAGCCATGTAGCAGGATCTTTGCTGAATTGCTGGATATAAATCTTGTGCCTTTAGACCTCACTGCGGGACGCGGGGGACTCCATTTGTAAGGGAGTATGCAAGTAATCAAAAACGTTAACCTGCCCTATAAAGTGTTAAGGAGTTCTGGCTATGGTAGATTGACATACAAAAAAGTTTTTATTTTATTTTATTTTTTTACTTAACTGCAAAATCTTTTTTTTCCAATCTTTGAGTTTGGCTGTCAGCTTAAGGCATGTTTTGGAGTCTCTATACTCCTGTTAACTATTAATCTATTACTAAATTAGTTGGAGATTATTTCAGTAACTGATTAATCATGATTCATCTGATTAGTTCAACCCTAAACTGCTTTTATAAAACCTTTTAAAGATTTGTTTGAAAACATCATTAATGTAGTAGTATACTTAATACTGAATATTAATTTGATTCGTCTGAACCTTCAATTAGTATTTTGAAAACTGGCCAATCTAAAACTTTCCAATATGTCATCTACATCGCTGAGGAGGAGACTATTGGGCTCCATTTAGAATCACTTATAGTTTTTTTTTATTAGTACTAGTCTTTATTTGTTGTTGCTACATTGATGCTCTTTCATCCATGCTGCCTCTCCCGTACTTGCTATGACAACAAAGAATAAGTTGATGAGAAAGCTGCTCCCTTCCATTGTCATTTAGAATTGCAAAGCTTCTGAGCGCAGTATGAGCTGTACAGTAACAATGTGATACTATTTCTTTTAGCTAAAAAAAAAAAAAAAGCCAAGTACTTGTAATCTTTTTTTTTATTCATGGCTTTTTGGGCAATTGTGTTATTAAATGGAGGATACACTATAATATGTTACTATATCTAGCCCTACCACCATCACAAAAAACATAAATCGTTGTAATTACCGTATGTCAAACAGGTAAGATTCAAACAGAAACTGCATTGCCTACCTTTATCATTACCTATGTTTCTTGATTGTGAGTGTTTTGCCTGTTTTGTTGGGTGTCTAGATGGGAAGTTAAAACTAATAATTGGATTTTACTTTTATTTTATTGATTTGGGAAACTTCACATAAAAATATAAATTTCCTGTTTAGAATTAATACATTTATATAGAACTGTACATTAATTTAAAACATAAAGAGATGCATAGATTAATTGATACATTGACGATAAATGGATTTGTTTCCATCTATTTTCAAAAAATAAGATATTATAATAATGGTTTTTATATTGGACTATTTAGTGAACCTTGGCACTTTTGGCACTCCACAGTTCCTGCTTGTCAGTAGGACAGAAAAAGACTGGGCTTTCCAGTTGGTTTTGCCTTGCCTTCCTTGTGTTGTGTTGTGTCACTGAATCATACTTGTGGAATTTAATGTCACTTCTGTTCCATGCCCATCCCCAAATTCCAGAGAGAGAGAGAGAGAGAGAGATGATTGTCCTTTATAGTAAGCCAACAAACAAGTGAGGCAGAAGTTGCAGTCCAGACATTTTTGTGTCATATAATTACCATAACTTAAAACATTTACTACAATCAGGATCAGTTCTTGCTTGGCTGCATATTTAGATTTTAGAAGATAAAAAACTCAAATAAGTAGTGAGGGGAGGGACAAATATTAGATAGGCTCAGTAACAATTCCCTCAATCCTAGTTTCATGAAGCTAAATAATAAAAGAAGCATCATTGTTACATCAGCAAAAAAAAAATAAATAAAAATAAATCAAACAACGGACAGGTTAAAACACTGGACCCAAAGCCACGCCAATGTTTTTAGGAGAATGTCTATGTAACGCTGTCTGTCTGTCTGTCTGTCTGTCTGTCTGTCTGTCTGTCTGTCTGTCTGTCT